ATCGCGTCTTCATCTGGGCAAGGCTCATCAGACGGGCGGGGTGGAACGGTTACATAGTGTTGCCGAAGTTCAGTTCAGTCCAGTTCTTCACCTCTTTTTGAGAACTGAGAACTGAACTGATGACCTCCAGGCAGAACTGAGGACCGAACAGGACTGAACTGGTAAGAACCGTTCTTCCCCGTTCAGTTCTGTTCAGTTCTCCGTTCGAACTGCCGAACTGTCAAAAATTCGGCAGAAAGTTGGTTTGTACCACCACCTAGAGGTTTTGCGACTGCTTACCTTGCACTTACCGTGACGGTGCACCGCAAGTTGTCGAACATCAAACACAGTACGTCTTGGAGCGCGTCGAGGACATCGCTGGAGAACGTTTGAAACAACGAGCAGTTAATTGTTTGTTTGTTCGTGCATTACTTACTCTCTCTCCACCAACTAGTACTACGCCTTTTGACGAAATCGTCTGCAGCTCAGCAGACAGCGGCAAATTGACCTACTGGTACGGCAAGCACCAACTCTTCACCACCCTCTCCCAGCCCATATTCATCGTCAACCTCAACTCCGCAAATGACAATATATCCTACCCATGCGCCCTCCCACCCCGTTTCGCCGCCTTGAACATGGCCATGATATCATTAGCCGAAGACTACAGCCTCGTTGGATTCAAAACTCTCGCAGTCGAGGTACCCAACCCCCCTCTCCTTCTCAAACAATCTCATGCACTCCCAGCCTCAGGACAAAACCTCAATGATCAATCTCACCTGCGTCATCAACCGTGCAACAAGGTACAGCTACATCACTCCTCCCTCCTCAAATCCACCCCATGGTACTCTCAACGACACCGCCGCACCTCCATCCATCTGCGCAAACACGTCTGCGCTCTTCTCAAGCGCTGTGGGGGAGATGAAGGGGATACGAAGTGACGTTAGGGACATCCAGGAACGGTGGCTTGATGCGTTTGAGAGGGAGTGGAGGAAGGAGGGTGAGGCAGGTCGTGCTAGGATACGAGAGCGGAAGGGAGGATGTTGGAATTGATGGATGACGTCGACGCTATAAGAAAAGCAGTTCAAACGCGCTAACGAACCTTGCAAAGCCGGCCAAGGGCGATCGTTAGGCAGGACACACAACGAACGAGCTTTGCTACAGCCAGCAGTAAATATTTTGTAGTGAACGACATGATGTACTTTCTTCTGTCTCCAGGACCATTATATTCTACCAACGCTTACTAACGAGATGAGAGAAGGGTTGTATCCTGAGGTTGGGAAGGTTGAGAATAAGAAACAGAAACTTCAAAAACACTCACCAACGTAACTCTTATTCAACGTTTCTTGGCCGATTCTCAAACAAAAAAATAGATAGAACTTGTATGTTCAGTTCAGTTCGAACCGGTTCAAATACAGTTCTTCAAATTTCTCTCATGCCCGAACTGCGAACTAGAACCGACCACTCGAGCCCGGACCAGAACTGGAACCGTAACCGAACTGTCCGTTCGGTTCTGCCAGTTCGGTCCGAACCGATGGTTCGGAACTGAACTTTGGCAACACTAGAACGGTAAGTCCTGGTGCAGACTCGTTCTCGTCAGAAAACGTGGCATACTAACGCATTACTCAGATTGAAAATCCTGACACGAGCGGTCCTCGTTACAGTTGCGTCGTCATCTACGAAGTCTTGTTCCGATTCTCATAGAAATTCTCTGCTCAATCAGTATACTATCGCCTATTCACCAAAGACAGTCCAATTGCAACGAACAACCCGATCTATGCAAACAACCTATTCGTCAGTCGCACTCTTCTGAAACTCGTCGCTCCCCCACGTGCCGCTTTATCCATAAAAAAGCATCTCTGCAAGATCGAGGGATTTTTAGGAGCTACAAACGCCACACTCTTCGAATCGATTTCAAGTCAGACCGCTGTTACGGAGTCCTTTCGAATGGCGCTCAAGGAGCCTTTTGGCCCGGGGATATCTGAGGACGACCCCATGGTTCTAGTAGTTGAAGCGGAAGATGCCGAAAAGCGGTCAGCGAGCACGGTGCAATCGAAGGGTCTCCCTGAGGCTGTGACGCCCGAGCCTCGTTATGGTGCGAACGGGAATTTTATCATATCTCGTGCACAACCGCGTTACTCATTACCGTCAATCAGTTTACTACCGGCTTTACGAGGAAGAAGGAGCAATGACTTCCAAAACATCCTTTGACCCGGATGATTCTTCCTTGGGTCACATTAACACGCTCTCTATCGCGCCACCTCAAACGGTGTCCTCTCTGAGGTCACAGATTGTAAAAGCTGAAGGCATCGCTGATCGCAAGATTCAACTGTTTGGGGATATGGACGGCGAGGTGCCGATGAATGATAATGACCACATTTCTTTCCGAGCACAGGTCTATCCGGGACATGTGGAAGATGAGCCCATAACTCTTGTTTGTAGCCAAGTCAAGGCCGAGAAAAAGCAGAAGATCGGCCGGGTAGTGCCAGACCCAACCTTCAACAAAAAGCTTCAAGGCTCGGCGCAATGGAGTGAGTAAAGTTATCGTGTTTCAAAATAACTCTTATGCTTTCTTCAGATCCACATCCGGATGTTCAATCAGACTGGCTCCCCTTCGCTGCGCACGAAATCCTGTATACAGATGGCGTCAAAACGACAGGCTACATCGCTGGGTCAAGTAAATATCTTCTTCACCGTCACATAAGCAGTACAAAGACGATTTTCATCCCTTCTTGTAGCGGCTCCCTATAGTGGATACATTGCGGTGAACTCCGCTGGTAGAAAGGGCTGTGAGTCTACCCTATTGCTGAATCTTGGGCGACTTGACATTAATTAAATCGGTCCGCTAGTCGTCTATGATGGTAAGTGGCAGGTGCTTATCCTTTGTGATATTTGCTTATTGATTCTGATTTTCTCTACCACTGCCTACTAGCTCACGCCAGGCTCTGCTAAGAATTAGACCACTCTTGGGTCTTTCAGCTTCATCTCCGCTTCACTTGTGTTTACCAGACGCATATATTTCCACATTTTACCCGAAATCAGTAGAAGACTGTCATCCAAGTTCAGCGCCATCCAAGTTCAGCGCCATCTTCAGAAGTAAACGTCCCTCGTCACTGCTAATTCAAGTATTGCCCGATTTCGAAATTCTTCACCCTCCTCTTGTCCCAATTAGGTCCGACTAGGTAGCACATTCACAATTTCAAACACGACACACCCCCAACGAACCCAAGCAAGGATTCACGATTCGTCCGGCTAAGCTACCGTCCCACCCTATCCAGCCCACTCCCTCCCCTCCAACCAAGCCGAAAGCCTTCCGCGACGCTCTCGCACATACCGTCCTCTTTGCAGTGGCACCAATCTTCGCACCTCCCTTCGGATTTCGATGTCTTTTCTGCCGATTATACCGACTCGTCTTCTGGGTACAAAAGCCAGGTACGATCTTCACCTTTTCTCGCTGTCGGACGTAGCTAACGTCGATGGTTAGATCGTGGCGCCGCAGCTTGGGTGGCTTCGCAATTAGAGAGGACGGACCAGATTGACGTCGATTTCGCCACCATATCACAACGCGCAGCCCGAATACGTTCGACCTCGTCTGTTGGATACGTGCTCGCTGAACTGGAGGCGGCTTTGCGGGTTGTGTGGAGAAAGAGACCGTCTTCTCGCCTGCTCAAGGAGCTTTTTGAGCACCGTCTTGTCAGACGCTCAATACTTGACTTCTCACGAACAGCCAACGGAACCTGTAACCTTCCACCCTTCCACCTCACTTTCAACTTCAAGAATCTCCACCCTTGCTGCTCTGACCCACAGACTACATATCGCGTCAATATTGAAGCTTTTCTTCATGAGCTCCAGCTCTACAACGAACTAAACGGCCACCTCCTTTCTTACCCATCTCCTAGCCCTATCAGAAGGGATTCTCAAAATCAGCGCCCGTCAACACAACACCTCCTTTGGATGTCAATCGCGGAAGAGTCTCTCCGATCCCTTCGACCACCTCCCCTTCTGTAGCAAAGCCCCTGCGAGAGGCTTGAGCCCACCCACGGCTCCTCTTATTCCAATCTGTGGCTTCCCTAGTCTGCCCAAGTTCCGACATTGACATTGTCCTCCAAGACACGAAGTCGTCCATCCTGCCACGTGTTTGGGCGGCGAGAGTATGTCACTTAACATTCTTCCATGCCGCTCCTCCTCGCTTGGTCTTATGAAAACTAGGGGGTATGAGTCTCTCAGAGTTAGGGATCGCTGCTATACACTCCCGGACGGCTGTTTGTTGATGTCTGTGAGGAAACAAGTCTCGTAAAGGTTCTTCAACACTGTTGTTGCTCGGCGAGTGGGATGTAGTTGGTGGGGGTTAGGAAGTGGAGCTTTCTTTTCACGGAGACTCGGATGTCTGGATTTCCGAAAAGCGCCGGTTTTGTGGCTTCTTCAACGTTCCTGACCACCACCTGTCAATTGGTCAAAGGCAATCAGCAACGTCTAAGAGCGACTTGCAAGCACAGCGCAGTTGGAGAGACTACCTGGGCTGTACTGCCTGAGCCCCGTTATGGTACGTTCCAAAATGTTATTATTAACTCTTGCTTACTTGCTTTGGTCCAGGCTATTATCGCCTCTACGACGAAGATGGCGCATTGGCATCGAAGACGTCTTTTGATTCGGAAGACTCATCCTTGGGCCGCATCGACACGCACTCCATCGCACCACCACAAACAGTCTCTTCGTTGAGTTTCCAAGTCACGAAGGCCGAGGGCTTTGTGACTCGAACTGTTAAGGTGTACCAAGACATGGACGGAGAGGTGCTGATGTCTGATAATGATCACCTGCCCCTTCAAGCCCAGGCTTACCTGGGACATCTTGAGGATGAACCTATAACGATTGTCTGTAGTCAAGAGAATTCAATGACCCCATTAAGCGCAGTGGACTTAAGCCTCTTAACGCAGATTAGAGGGGGGGTGGCATGGAGTAAGTGAAATTAGCAGACAATTGTCAAAATGAATCTCACGCATCCTGCAGATCCCAGTGAAACTCATCAGGCCGACTGACTTCCTTTCAAGGAGGGCGAGGTCATGTACACGGATGGCATCAAAACATCAGGTTTTATTCCCGGACTCCCAAGTACTCCTCTTTCGTATATTATGAGAATAGTACTGATGCATTCTTTGTAGATCCCTATAGCGGTTACGTTGCGATGAACTCCGCCGGACGGAAGGGCTGTGAGTCACTGGTCCTGAATTCTTGAACGACTTGAAATACTGAGGATATTGATCTTGTCAGTGGCAGGTTTTCATGTGCCATGTCCCTTTTCAAATTTCCTTCATCATCTACTCAGGCCATCTGAGACGTCCTTATGAGAGCTGTTGAGGAGCTTATGACGATCTCATCCTTAAACATAGACATCTAGGGTGGCATAAATGGGTGTTTCTGTATTTCAAGATAGTCGAACGTTGAGGATTAGAAGGAGGATTGGAAATTGTCTCGCAACTAAAGTGTTGTCTGCTCTTTTGAGAGGATGCAATTCAGAAATTCTGAGTCAACACAGAAATGAATGTCAAGCCTTCAGAAGAAATTTCTCGTATCTTCCTATTCATCAAGAGCATTCTCAACACGGTTCGGAAGAGCATTGAAGATCAAGACTCAACTCAGTCGCTTTCAGGGGTTCGCGCACAAAAGTCCCACATATCTTCGCCAGACCTAGGCACCAATGACGTTGCTTAGAGCGTGTGCACTGAAACTTACTACGCCGGAGAATACTGGTCACTCTTCGTGACCTTGGTCAGAGAGAGCTGCATCCCAAAATGTAGTGGCAACCCATGGAGAAAGCGAAGAATGGAGATGTGGTGGTAGACCTGTCTTCTAAAGGGTCGAGTCCAATGGTAGCGATTCTACCAATCCAGACAGAACTTGGCCAGAACTATTGGCACGACGACGTTCTGGGGGACAGTAGGTGGGGGCTTGTTCATTCAAAGAAACTGCGCACCTTCATCAGAGTATCCGCTGCGGGCGATGGTTGGCCGAAGGTGTACAGAGATCGATACACCTTGTGCACCATATTTCGCGCCCCAAGATGACATGGATGCTCCAGAAACTGGCCAGATACAGCATTTGGGGGCTCTATTGAGACTTTAGAAGAGAGAATGAATAGTCGTCGTGGTCGTCGTCCTTGCGTGTGACAAACCCGGGCGGTCATTAGCGTAGACGACACTGAGCTCATAAAGAGGTCACGACTTCAACCGTCCTTATCTCGCTCGTGATACAGACTCTGGGCTTAAGCATTGTGGCGTCGCGCAACTGCAAGTCTTGCAGAATACCTGTAGAAAAGTTTGAGAGCGTACCACAACCAAAAGAAACCTCTCACATGAATGCGTGATCTTCTCTTCGAAGCAGGAGACGAATTAGTTTCCGCCTTCTTAGGGCCACTCCGAATCTACTACGTGGATTGCATTCGAGCCCCAGACATCAGGCCAGATACAAGGCGAGCATCGACGTGCACAGCCTCCTCTTGCATGTCGAGTCAAGGGGGATGGTGTTCCGTTTTCCTTCAAAGGACGCAAATATTGAGATTGGATGGGGTGACTAGGAGAACCACAGAACCGAACAAGTCCATCGGAGCTGTGGCTGTGCAAACTCGAATGAGAATTTGTCTTTTCATCGTATCCTCTGCGACAAGGGGGGGTCGAGGAGGATAGATAACACAAGCTCTTTCTCGATTCACGTAGTGGCATCGGAAAGGACGATTGAGGCCGTTGCTGAGTCTTGAAAAATGCCAGTGTTTACCTGACGTGGGGTGTCAACATTGACCTGCATGGCTTCCTCTTGCATGTCGAGACATGAAAGATGGTGTTCCGTTTTTCCTTCAAAGGAGGCAAATATTAAGATTGGATGGGGTGACCAGGAGAACGAAGAAGTGCACCGGAGCTGTGGCTGTGCAACCTCGAATGGTAATTTGTCTTTTCATCGTATCCTCGAAGCTTCTTGCGACAAGGGGGGTCGGGGAGGATAAGTAACACAAGCTCTTTCTTGATTCGCGTAGTGGCATCGAAAAGGAGGATTGAGGCCGTTGCTGAGTCTTGAAAAATGCCAGTGTTTACCTGACGTGGGGTGTCAACATTGACCTGCATGGCTTCCTCTTGCATGTCGAGACACGGGGAACGGTGTTCCATTTTTCCTTCAAAGGAGGCAAATATTGAGATCGGATGGGGTGAGACCAGAGAACGAAGAAGTGCACCGGAGCTGTGGCTGTGCAACCTCAACGAGAGTTTGTCTCTTTCATCGTACCCTCGAAGGTTCTTGCGACAAAGGAAGGAAAGGATACCAAAGAGAGTAGCTGAGGCAAGCTCTTTCTCGATTCATGGACTGGCTTTGGAAAGGAGGGATTGAAGCCGTTGCTGACTGAGTCTTGAAAAATGCCGGCATTTGGTACCTGACATGAGGTGTCAACTTGAATGTGGAAGACGATCGTTCAACTAGCCAGAACACTAGTGCCCCGAACCTGATAATAATATGTTCTTGACAGGGCGAGAGGATTGGGGTAGGTAAAAGTATCAAGACTATGGGAGTAACGGCGAGAAGTAGGGATCGACAGCTGTTCAACCCGGTCAACGGTCAGGAATCGATGCGTTTTAAAGTCTCCAACCAGATTGTCCTCCCCGCGCCTCCCGACCCCGGTGAGGCAGTCGGAATTCATTTGACGTGAGAAGTGTCCCCTCCCACAGAACTTCCAAAGATGCTTTGCGCCTTTGGAAAACGTCGTGTCCCAATTCGCAAAAATGAAACGTATACAGCAAAATACGTTGAGTTAGGTACTCTTTCAAGTTCAACTTGTCTCCAGAAAGGCTCCATGGCGGCGAGTTCCCATCATTGAACTTCTGACCATACTAGCACTAATCAACAACCGACTATCGGCGCTCCACGCAAGCCGATACACACCGCCTACATGGCCTCGAAGCGTAGCGACGAACTTGCCCGTCCGGCCCTTCCATATGCGTATGCTGTTATCCCAAGCAGCTGACGCTGCCCACCGACCGTCTGGGGGAAAAGCGACGTGGGAGACTTGGCGCTGGTTGCCTGTCAGTCGGCGATGGGTTTGGTGGAGGAGTGGGGGGACCAGAGGAAGAAGGTATGGTCGTCTGAGCTGGAGATGAGCAAATCGGTGGGGGAAATGTGGAGGGCCGTGTACCGCTATCGTGCGAGTTTTTGGGCTGTATAGGGAAGGGTGGGGTTCTGAGTGGGCTTGTTTGCTTGATAGAGAGGGAGACTGACCGTCTTCGTCGGAGTTTCTCGCCTGTATGGTTGTACGGACCCGTACATGAGACGAAATTCGTATTCAGAGCGAGAGTGGTCACCCAATGCGCGTGGTCTTCCTTGTTTCGTATCCCATACTGACTGTCGGATCGCTGCTGGCGGTATAGAGCACGTCAGCCTCACCCCATTTAACGACGTTCACGCTGGCGGTCCGCCCAGAGTGAACTCTGCGCGTCGAGTTAGGAGGGACCATACCCGGATGGTGCTGTTTTTCGAGGGTGATGCGAGGCGGGGGGAAGTGGCGTTACTTTTTTCCAACTCAGCTGGTGTTTGGCTAGGAAGGTAAGAAGAAGGCGGCTCACAGGTGAATGGGTTCCCAAGAGAGGGACTTTATCTGTTTCGCGTGGCCTTTCAATGTGTTCCCGATGGGTTTTCCCGTTTTTCGGGTCCCATATACTCGCTTGAGACGAGTGTTAATTAGCGGGTCCAACGCCAAGAAACAGACCCACAAGTCCGTCATGTCCCCCATTAGCCAACTTCCGCTCCATAGCTTCCCACTCAACACATAAAACCCACTCTGGCCTGGCAGAACATGTGAGGGAGTCTCCGTGTTGAGGTCCCACGGACGCACGTAGGTGTCTCCTGAGCCTGTTGCGAGGAGCTTACCGGTGGATGAGAATGAGGCACATAATATGGGAGAGGTGTGTCCTGTTATGGTTATAATGATGAATGGTGAGTCAAGAAAGAAAAAAATGCACGCGTGAGGAAACGTATCGCAGAGGGTGGAAGAGCATCTTGAGGCTGGTCGGATGCGAAACACGCTTTGTGGCGAACTGTGCACGACGAGGATGTCTTCGGACGTAAAGGTGCCTGATGGATGGTCGAGCACGTCAGCTTCGAGGGATTTAGAGACGACGACGATGCGTGTAGGTGCTCCTTGGGGAGCGTTCTTGTCTTCAGGCAGGTTGAGGTGCAAGGAGAACGGAACGAGGTCCTCATCCTATGTGAATGAATTAAATATGTAGATATGCGGTAAAATCAGACATACCTGGCTTAAGATTTTGTTTAAGAGCGGTTCAAGAGATCCCCTTGGTAAATTTGCTGGGATATTGACGGCAGGCGCCAACGATGTACCATTTCCTCTGAGATAAATTGAACGACGGTGGTTCGGGGTGAAGGGTAGTTCTGGATGGTACTTCGACTTCTTCTCGCATGATTTGCGTTGGAGAAAGAGAAAATTTTCGAGAGAGGAATAAAGGAGGGTGGCAGGTGCGGGGGGGATGGGATTGGACGGCTGCTAATGGGTGAAGGTCAGATATCGATTGAAGGAGGCAGGGCTTTTGCGTGAGTGCTCTGTTCCGGTCAGGCTTCTTGCCCATCGTTTCAAAGTGAGCTCTCGCGGGGGCTGGTCGCAAGAGTTGGCTCAGTAGTGCGAGTTGACGTTGGTCTGCGTTGCAGCAAGAGCTCCGAGTGTTGTGTCGCCCAATTAGAATTCCGACAGCCAATTCCCACCTCCGACTTCAGGTCTTCTTCATCGACCACGACGATCCGACCTATCAACGTCTTGAGCCCTTTCAACTTTTCTAGTGTTCATATTACAACACACCATTTCACTCATGGAACCTTCGTCATCAGCCGCATTTCTGCCAAACGCTATCGGAACCACCATCGCTGGAGGAGCACAGGTCAATAACGCTGGGCGCGACATCATTTTTAATGGCCCTCCGGCCCATCCTCCCGCAGGTATGTCAGGTTTTATATGAAGCTCCAATACTATCAAATGGTTCATTGCATCTAGGCCTTCCAGGCTTGCTTAGGCCTGTCAGCAACGCCACCCATACTCGCGCGGGTCATGTTGCTCGATGTGATCCCGGTACCCGCCTAGAGGTTATCACTCAGATCAAGGAGTGGCTCAATGATTCTGACAACCGAGCTCCTATTTGCTGGCTCAACGGACCAGCTGGCTATGGCAAGTCAGCATTGGCTCAAACCATTGCGGAGTACTATGCCGCGGAGGGCCGCCTTCTAGGGAGCTTCTTCTTTCTTCGAGGCGCTGGTGAACGTAGCCACATATCTCGCCTGATTCCTACTCTTGCCCATCAGATCTCCCTTTCTATTCCTGCTGCCAAGCCATCACTTGAGAGGGCTCTTCACCATGAGCCTGCCTTGCTCGAGCCCTCTGTCTCTCTTGCTCATCAATTTCAGAAGTTAATTATAGATCCAACTCGTTCCACCACATTCAAAGTCCTTTCTCGCCTTC